ATAGCGATCAGGCAAGAGAAAGATATTAAATGCATTCAGGTAGGAAAGGAAGAAATCAAGCTCTCACTATTCGCAGATGATATGATACTATACTTAGAGAATGCAATAACCCCACCAAAAAACTCCTAGAAACAATAGATTTGTATAGTAAAGTTGCAGGCTATAAAATCAATACACAAAAGTCCATGGCTTTCCTATATGCAAACAGTGAGAGAGAAGAAAGCTACATGAAAAAAATGATCCCATTCACAATTGTTCCCCAGAAAATCAAGTACCTAGGAATCAGCTTAACTAAGGAAGTAAAGGACCTGTACAAAGAAAACTACAAAACGCTACTTCAGGAAATAAAAGAGGACATGAGGAAATGGAAGGATATCCCCTGCTCATGGGTCGGGAGTCTTAACATTGCCAAAATGGCAACACTCCCGAAAGCATTGTATAAATTCAATGCAATCCCTATAAGGATACCCATGACATTCTTCAAAGAAATAGAGAAAACACTCCTGAAATTTATATGGAACAATAAGCCCCCACGAGTTGCTAAAGAAATTCTTGGAAAAAGAAAATGGGAGGAATCAACCTCCCGAACTTCAAACTGTACTACAAAGCAGTAATAATTAAAACAGCATGGTACTGGAACAAAGGCAGAACTGCAGACCAATGGAACAGGGTTGAATACACTGACATCTCCCCTCAATCATATGATCATCTAATCTTTGATAAAGGTGCAAGTAATGTGAAGTGGAGTAAGGAAAGTCTCTTTAACAAATTGTGCTGGCATCACTGGACGGCCCCATGCAAAAAAGTTGGCTCAGAACTCTGCCTAACACCATGTACAAAAGTAAGATCAAAATGGATTAAAGACCTCAACATCAAACCAGAAACCATAAGGTACATTGAAGACAAAGTTGGCAAAACCCTCCATGACACTGAAGCTAATGGTATCTTCAAAGATGCCACGCCACTGGCCGAGCAAGTGAAAACAGAGATAGATAAATGGAACTATCTTAAACTACGAAGCTTCTGCACCTCAAAAGAAACAGTGACCAAAATACAAAGACAGTCTACAGAATGGGAAAGGATATTCGCCGAACACACCTCTGACAAGGGGTTGATATCAAGGATATACAAAATACTGGTTGAACTCCACAAGTTGAACTCCACAAGAAGAAAACATCCAACCCCATCAACAAATGGCGCAATGAAATGAACAGAAATTTTCTCAAAGAAGAAATCCAAATGGCAAAAAAGCACATGAGAAAGTGTTCTACATCATTAATTATCAGGGAGATGCAGATCAAAACCACAATGAGATACCATCTCACACCTCAGAGACTGGCCCATATCCAAAAGAACAAAAGCAACCAATGCTGGCGCAGATGTGGCGAGAAAGGGACACTCCTTCACTGTTGGTGGGAATGTCGACTGGTTCAGCCCTTCTGGAAAACAGTGTGGACGAATCTCAAAAAATTAGAAATTGAGCTCCCATTTGAGCCTGTAATACCACTCCTGGGAATATATCCCAGAGAGGCAAAAATGTATAGTCGAAGTGACATGTGCACTTGTTTGTTCATTGCAGCACTCTTTACAATAGCCAGAATCTGGAAAAAACCTGTGTGCCCAAGAACAGATGACTGGTTAAAGAAACTTTGGTACATCTACACAATGGAGTACTATGTAGCTGTTAGAAAAGATAAAGTCATGAAAGTTATATACAAGTGGTACAACATGGAAAGTATCATGCTAAGCGAAATGAGTCAGAAAGAGATGGATAGACATAGAAAGATTGTATTCATCTGGGGAATATAAAGAAACAAAATATGAGATTAATACCCAAGAATAGCTGAGATCAACACAAGGAGGATTACTCCATAGTTCAGAGGCCAGCCAGGCATTCTAGGGGATAGGGCAGCTCAGATAGAGAAGGGATTACCAAATGAAGGGTGTTTGGAGGATCCTCCCAGGAGCGGAGATGTGTGTTGAAAGTAGACTATGGACTGAACATGCTTGCCACTCAAAGCCTCTTTTGCAGACCACAACACTCAAAAGGAGAGATAGAACACAAGGGATTGCCCTGCCACAGAGGCAGGGTGAGATGGGAGGGATGGGGGTGGGAGGGATATTATCCATATTGGTGGAAAATGGGCACTGGTGGAGGGATGGGCATTTGATCATTGTATAATCGAAACCCAAGCACAAAAAATTGTAAATCTACAACTGTACCTCATGGTGTTTTACTAAAAATTAAAAAAAAAATAAAAAATAAAAAAAAAGAAATTAAGACAAAAAAAATTCCAGTGGACAGGGAAAAACAATTAATAAAATAATAGGAAATAAACACAACAGGTAATACTTTAATGAAAATCAAAGCTGAAAGATAAAAAATTTAAAAAACCAGAAATAAACGAAAGAAAAGAATTCAAGGGTAAGCTAAAAATTTTTAAAATGGTTATAACATCTTGAATGCATGAAAAGTACAATAAAGGAGACAAAATACAAAGTAAACAAATATGTAATCCAAGATTTTTTTCAAAAATAAAAATTTAAAACTACTTATTAAAAGCTCACTGAAAAAATTATCTATATGAATACCAAGATACCAGTAAAATTTAGTAACTAATGAAAAAATGAAATAAGGAAGAGAAAGGAAGCCAGGTGGGCAGAGAAAGGTAGGAAGATAGGCAGGCAGGGATGAAGAAAAAATGTTTTAGATGCCTGATAAATAAGGTTTACGGGCTGGAGCGATAGCACAGCGGGTAGGGCATTTGCCTTGCACGCAGTCAACATGGCTGACACAGGTTCGATTCCCAGCATCCCATATGGTCCTCCGAGCACCGCCAGGAGTGTTTCCTGAGTGCATGAGCCAGGAGTAACGCCTCAGCATCGCCGGGTGTGACCCCAAAGCAAAAAATTAATTAATTAATTAATTAATAACGTGTAAAGCTCATGCATGACTTTATAAGGGAAAGAATATTATGTTATCAGTCTTCCCAACAGCAGTAATTCATGGCAAATGAAAATAAAGTAACATATCTTAAAATACTTAAGAATAAAAGAATGAACCAGTATTATTTTTATCCCACAAAACAAATTTTCAGATTCTAAGGACAGAGACAAACTTTGATCAGTGTGCACTAGTTCCACAAACCTGGTTCCTTTGAGTTCCTACTTTTACAGAAGCCAAAATTACAGACATGACGTAAGAATTGGTGGTGAATAAATAGATAATTGTCCATAGGAAAAAAATACTAAATGAGAGATCAAAGAGATATTACAGTGGGTAAGGCAACTGTCCTGCAAGAGGTCTACCTGGGTTCGAAACCTGGTCCTCTGAGAACAGTTAGGAGTGATACCCTTGTGCAGAGCCAGGAATTACCCCTGATCAAAGCCATGCTTGGCCCTCAAACAAAAACTAAGCAAAAAATTAAATGAGAAAATATGGGATATAATATACCGTGAAATAACATATTGTCAGATAAGATAGGCAGAGAATAACTTTAACAGTGGGAAATAATAATGGGGTGAGAAAAATCAAATGATATCAATGACTTCAGAAAGTATTATTGCTAATCTAATATTTTTAATATGCAGTGTTAAAGCCTTTGGAAATAGTCCATATACCATGTTCTTTGTTTCTCCTAAGTCCTTGAGAAATACTATTCTCAGTGGTAGGTACAAATATAATGAAGTAGATCTTAAAGCAAAAGTCCTCTAGATTTGCATTTTGGAATTAGAAATATCTCCAAATTTAGGTTAGGTGATCATTGGAGCAACAAGTTGAACAGGTAAAAGGTAAAGGTAAAGGCCCTCCCGTTGATCGTCGATTTGCTCGAGCGGGCCCAGTAACGTCTCCATTGGAGACTTTGTTGTTACTGTGTCTGGCATATCGAATACTCTCGGTAGCTTGCCGGGCTCTCCGAGAGGGGAGGAGGAATCGAACTCGGGTCGGCCATGTTGGCCGCTTGTAAGGCAAACGCCCTACCGCTGTGCTATCGCTCCAGGATTAATTGAAGATCAGGTAAATGTTTTAAACAGGAACTTAAAGGATAGGGGTTTTTGAAAAGACCCTCTGACATAAGGGTGTGATCATGCTGAAGAAAGCAATTTCAGGCAGAAACCTATAGCTAAATCCATTTTGAAAAACAGAGTTGCTTTTGTTAGAGTTTACAGTTCTTATTTACTTCTAACCTACTTGAAACATTTTTAAACGTTGAAGAATTAGGCTGTACTAGTAAGTTAAACCCTAAATCTAAAAGCATGACAGTTTAGAAGTAGATATATTTATACAGAAAAAATTGAGAATTAAAATTTATTTAAAAAAATAAGAAAAATTGGTTGAAATAGTAATGGGCTCATCCCTTCCCATTCTTTCCTTAGCTCTTTTCTACGGCAGAAAGAAAATTCTGACTGAAAGCCAATCTTTTGCTTGTGAAAAGTGGATATTCAGGGTGAAATTGTGAAGCAAGTATGTGATGGCTTCTAGAACCATGTCTCAATGCTGCTATCATTTTTGTGACCTTAGAATGTTTCATCTCACTATACCTCAGTGTCCTTGACTATGACATACTGAAAATAAAAGCATTTATCTCACCGAATTTCCACAAGTTCTGCATCAAATACAACATATAAAGAACTTAGAGTAGCTTTGAGAGACTGTAATAAATAACATCTATTATAATCACAACTGATTGATCATCGTCACCTGACAGAAAACCTTTCCCAGTGTGATGTGAGTCAAGTATGTGAAAATATATTTCACATCCAATAGGTACCTACTCATATAATTCCTTTATAATCTCTCTTGTTAAGTAGGAATGGCAACAACATTCTAAAACTAATATAAAGATTATGTATATTGTATGTATCATCTCAAATGTTATGAAAGCAATGTTAAAATTATTATAAAACACAATATACATTATAAAAATACTGTGGTAACTTTCTCCTGTGTTTCAAAAATATTAAGCTGCAATTTTCTGCCAAAAATTAAAATTCCTAGCGTGCTTGAGTTGGCAGCACATATTTGAGCAAAAATTGGAACAACTTGCTGAAGATTAGCATAGCCAGGCACAAGGATGACATGCAAATTCATCAAGTGTTCTCTGTTTTTAAAACTCATTGAACTGTACACTTACAATGGGGAAATTTTATAGAGTGCAAATTACATCTCAACAAACCTGGTTTAAATTTTTTTAACTTGCTATAATCTAAGAAAAACCTTCCCCCTTTATTGATTTGTGGAGCTGCAGATTTCCTCCGGGTCTATTATAGACATATTTTCTTTAAGTCTCCACTATGGACAGGAAAATGCAAGAAATATCTATCTAATCCAGTAAGCGATCTTGTTTTCTACCCAGGAGAGCACTACAGGTAAGAGCTTTTGTGAATGCTTGACTGACCATGCACTGGGCAGTTAGAAATCTTACTTTACTTTCACATTTCTGAGCTTCACATGAACAGGGAAGTCAGACTTTACCATATTCCTGATGAGGCCAAGAAAGTTAATATAACCCGGTAAATGATGCTAAAATGGTGCCATGCTATTTGATAAACTAAACTTTAAAGTATGCTGAAGGAGTACAAACTTTAAGAGTTCATTGAGCACATATTTCTTACATTTTAAAACTTCTCATTTGAAAAAAACGAATGGGTAACCAACCACATTTTTATAAAGAGATAAATTCAGTACGGCAATCTCAAGCAAGTTTGTTCAGCTTGACAAAGGCAGTTGTCATTTGCATAGTATCTTAAGTATTCTGGATGAATTCAATAATACCAATCCTCTAAAAATACTTTTTATAAGTGTCAGTTCACAGTATATATTAAGTATGAATGATTTGTTACTACATCTTCAATTCACAATCATTACAAAAATAGCATTTGCATTGTGATCAGCAGCAAATCATGTTATTCTTTCAAAGTCTGATAGTGATTGGTCACAAAGTCATTAAGAGTTCAACTTTTTATAAGGGTTACACCCATAGTACTTGAATGATACTGGCAATGGTAGTCTGAAGTTGCAATGCTCTAACTCAATATATATTTAACTTTTAAAATCTATTATCTTGGATGATGTTATGATATACCCCTAAGGTATAGGTGTTACAATTGCAGATTATTCCTTTTTTCATCAGAGTTTTAGAAGAAATATTAAAAATGCATGAAACTAGGGACATTTGAGTCTCATAACAGAAATATAATGTGTGTAGTGGGTATAAAGTTTTACAGAATTTGTGTGTGTGTGAAGGATATGAATTGTGCATAAATTTTTAGTTGAAACAACTACCATGGAAATGTTGACAATGGCCCTTTAACAGAGAAACTCTACCCAATGTAATCAGAGGAGTTTATCAAAGGTGAATCTTCTTAAATAATTGAGAAAAGTAGTTCTGATGAAAATAAGAACTATGTCCCAAAGGAAATGATGCTGGAATAAAAGACAACATACCTTCACAATAAAGAATTTCCCAGTGATATAACACTATTGAAAATGCAAAAATGTTAAATGCTGTTAAATGCTGATATAGCCAACAAAGAATAATATAAATTTTATCAAGTCATAGGAAAAGTAATAGTACTATAAATTGACAAACTGATTCTTTTGGCTATTTTCAAAATATTCTTTCAAGTTATTGTTTTTATATCTTAAATAAATGTCTAGTTGAGCCATTTCTGGATCATATAGCATTTCTATTTCTATCTTTTAATATATTTGTCAGTCTATTTTTCATTGAGGCTACATCAATTCACATTTCCTCTAACTCTCTAGTGGAGCTCCTTTTGTTCCAAATTCTTTCCAACACATCTCTCCAAAGTTTTTGATGTAATTCAATCTTAACTGTGTTAGACAATATCACTTTAAGTTTTGATTTCTAGTTGCTAATAATAAGTGATCCTGAGCATATTTTTTTTTGTCTCTAGACTATCCGTCTTCCTTGGAGAAGTGTCTATAGGGAGGTTTTGCTGATTTTTATTGTACTTCTTACTTTTTTATTTTAGAATTGAGATCTTTATATACTTTGGATATAAAACCTTTGTCTAACATATAATGTATAAATATCTTCTCCCAATTGTTATGTTGCCTTTTTGTTTTCGGTAGTTTCTTTTGCTGTGGAAAACTTTTGAATTTTATGTAACACCATTTTTTAAGGTTGCTTTTATCTCTGAGCTAATTCAAGCTCTAATTTTCTTGATAATTTTAAGAGCTAAATTTCCAAGTACATTTTTGATGTTGAGATTCTGAAATGTGTAACTTTTCTTCTCTATGTTTTATGGTTGACTTATAGTCTAATGTAGAAATCTTTAATCCATTTTTATATATATGATAATATACAAAACCATCTTATTTTTGTGTGTAAAATAAATTGGTCTTCTTTTTCTACTTGGCTACCTAGTGGTTTCCATAACCACTAAATAAGTGTGGTGTTACTTTCCATAACACCACAGTTGTTAGAGCTTGTCTTTCTCCAATCCATAGTCCTTCGCCCTTTCATGAAATCAGGTTTTATATCAAGGTCTTTATTCCCTTTATGAGTTGACTCTGTGCATGGTGTGAGATAGGAGTTGGAGATCATTTTTTTCACATATGACTGAACAGTTTTTCTAAAACCACTTGTTGAAGAGGTTTTCAAGCTCAACTTTTAAATGCTTTACTCTTTTATTTGTTATCATCTCTCCATAAATCTGAGGATTGTCACTGAACTCTCATTCCATTATTCTTAGATTCTATCTTTATTTCAATACCACACTATTTTGATTACTTTGACTTTATACTATAATTTAAAGTTGGGGTAAGAGAAGCCTGCTATCATCATTTTTCCAGATTGCTTTGGCTATTGGGGATTGGGGCAGGTTATTGCTACGTGTAAACTTCAGCATTTACTTAGGTATTTTAAAAATATCCTGGGTATTTTTAGAGACTGAATTAAATCAGTATAGTACTTTAAGTAGAATTCTCACTTTTGATAACATTAAATCTTCCAATATAAGAACACGCAATGATATTCTACATTTTTAAAAAAAGGACACAAATTTAACATTTTTATAATGCTTATTCTTTCCATGGGACTCCGCAATACAGAACTTTGTGACTTTGAAGTCTGGACTCAATGGGACCAGAACAGAGATTCTCTGCCTGTTTTCCCCAGTCTCAGGTGACTCAGGGATCACACCCGTAAGCCACACCCTGCCCACACCAGATAATCTCATCGGTCACCCTCCGGAACTCACAGATGCTCCTCCCAGATGGGAGTATAAAAGGAGGCCCCCAAGAACCATGCCATCGGACTCCATGCCAGGCTGTGGGGCAGGGAAGAGCCCTCCCCACCCCAAGGGACCCAGCCCAGTAGTCGACCTCCACTACCTAACCACTGCCATACTCCAGGCCGCTTTTTGAAGTGGCTGTGTGACACATTATAAACTTTCTACCCATTTTTGCTTCTCAGAGAGCCGGGCAAGCTGCCAAGAGTATCCTGCCTGCACAGGCAGTGCCTGGGCAAGCTCCCCACGTAGTATTCGATATGCCAAATACAATAACAACAATTGGTTTCATTCCCCTGACCCTGAAAGACCCTCCAATTGTTGGGAAAAGACAAGTAAGAAGAGGCTGCTAAAATCTCAGGGCTGGGAGGAATGGAGATGTTACTGGAGCACACTTGAGTAAATCGAAGATCAACAGGATGATAGTGATACAGTGATATTCTTTCCAAACCATGAATACAGACATCTTTTACTTACTTTGTGTCTTATGTAAATTTAAAAATATCTTGCAATATTTAGAAGACAGCACGGGAGTTTTGACCTGCTCCATTTCCGACCTGGGCCAGTTCACTCCTCCTTAGGCAAACTGGTGGTCCTGCACTCCCGGAGGGTCACCATATTGATGCCAAACTGGAATGATAGTACAGTGGTAGGGCATTTGCCTTGTGTGCAGCCAGCCCGGCCAAGCCGGGTTCGATTCCTCTACCCCTCTCGGAGAGCCTGGCAAGCTACCCAGAGTATCTCGCCCGCACAGCAAAGCCTGGCAAGCTACCCGTGACATTATTCAATATGCCAAACATAGTGACAACAAGTCTCATGATGGAGACATTACCAGGCCCACTCGAAGCAAATTGATGAATAACGGGAGGACCATGACCGTGATTTAGTATACATATATTTCACATAGTTTTCTAGGCTTTCTCCATGTATTTGATATTTTTGATGCAATTATACATTGTACTACTATCTCTGAGATCTAGTGCTTTATAGTTTCAGTAGTAAGGCAGTTTTATTTGCTCTCTGTGTGTGTATTTGTACATAAGCATATTTGTAGGGATGTAATAATGAGCTGTATTTGAGCACTGAATCCCAAGTAGCTCTCGGGGAGGTACCTCCTAGCAATTCTTAGCTAAAAGTTCTGATGGTTCAATGCAAGGAGTTGAGGATGCAGTGCTTCTCAGGTCCTGTAGTGCTGGGGAGTAAACTCTGTGGTGCTAAGGGCCTCTATAGGACCATACTGAGAGGTGCTCAGGGGCCTCCAGTGATATACTCATTAATGCATGGGGAACCATGCTATTGCAGTGATCAAACTGGGGTCAGTTCCATGCAAGGTATGTGCCTGAATCTCTATAATAACTCTCTGGTCCCAAATGTGCTGTTGTGATGTTTATAGTCATTCTGTGAGTTTGAAGATGATTTCGGACGACACATGCAAATTGTTCTTTCATAAATATATTCAATTTTATGTATATCATTTTAAAATTAAAATATCTTTAAGTCTGAGTAGGGGCTAATCTTTATGAATGTCAAAGATGTGAAACTTGAAGCAAGTCCCCTCAGTGTCTTCATCTGGAGAACAATTTTCCATGCTGGTTGCCATTCTCTGCCCTGCATGAGTGACTCTGTGTGCACCTAAGGACCATTTTAATGTGTGGCATCTGGATGGACACCTGCAAGCTATGAAGCTTTGAACTAAGGAGTCATTAATGCTAAAAAAAATTAACATTAATGTTGATTATCCTCTTTAACTTGTTTCACCCAGAACTGTTCAATCATTCTGCAACCAGATTATTGCCAGTTCCATATGCTCCTGTGTCACTTAGGCTTGACTAATTAAAATGTTCTGCTATA